AGAGAGAGAGAGAGAGAGAGAGAGAGAGAGAGAGAGAGAGAGAGAGAAACCCTGAACGAACAAAAAAACCCTAAGCCATTTCTCTTGGGAATGAGTCTTCCTCTTCAAGCTCTAGGCCAGGGAAGCAGAACACTGCTTGGTTCTGTAGCTCATCTTGCCTTGACAGGGAATGCCAAAGAGATGCCACTAGTGCTAGGTAAAAAACAGGACAGCAGGGCTGAGAGGGGCCAAGCTAGGGTAGCCCGGAGCAGCCAGGAGAAAGTGGAGGTGAGAGTGCAGAGGCCCCTGCTCAAGGCTGTGATACAGAGCCAATGATCCCTGAAGCAAATGACCTTGGGAGTGGTCACTGGAAGAGCTCAGCTGCTGGAGGGAGCTTGTACCCTGCTCCCGAATGCTGTGTCCCGCTCAGGGATGCTTTCTGAGGATCTCAGCGTGCTGGCTAAGGTCATGAGCTACTAGGCAGCTTCTGTGCCACCCCTCTGCTAGCACCAAGGGGCCATGAAGAGCTTGAGGCCTGGCAGCTGTGGCCCTAGACAGTGGCATGCCTCACCTGTCTGGGCACCTGAGGACGACCTTACTTTTGGGGGAAGAACTGGCCCTCTTAGTCCCATTTTCTGACCAAGGCCTGACAGCACAGCTGCCAGCTGGGTGTCTGCGGCAGCAGCCAGGTCGCACCCTGGCATCAATAGTGCTGTCTCTGGGCTTCCCTGGGCACAGCCCCACGGCCTCCTCTGGTGGCCGCCAGCCCATGCCTCCGGGCACGAGTACTTTACCAGGCCCTCTGGGCTCCTCCCAGCACTACCTGGCCGGCCACTCTCCCGGGGTTCCACCTGCCCTCCCCGCCTGGTCGTGTCACTGTTGATCTGCCACCTGGGACTCTCTCCTGGCCACTCTCAAGCCAGAAAGGAGCTGTCCCTGATCCCTGGGGCACAGCCCACGGTGGCGTCTCCCTGTTCGTTACCCATGGTGCCACCATGGAACTGGGCTCTCTCTTATGGCCTTCTCATGATTTGCCTGTGTTTGACATTTTCTGAGATGAAAACTTACAAAAAAATACTACTCACTGTAAGTCCCTCCCATCCACCCACTTCTCCCAGGCTGAGTGTTCCCTGCCCGCGCACAGCGACCAGGGTGTGTTTGGGGCTCAAGGCTGCTCCGCTGATAGTAACCTGCGGCCACTGTTTTGACGTGGTGAGAGCATTGTCTTGTGAATCAGGTGTCTCGGGTGCATGACCCAAGGCACGAAGCTTCTCCTCCCGTCGCGCCTGCACATTTTACAAATATGCTTTTCCAGTTAATGGGTGGGATGGAGGTGGCCCTGCTGCTGACATGAGGTGGCCCTGGTGGAGAGGGTCTTGGATGACAGAGGACCCTTTCAGACTCTGCCTGCCTGAGGATGTCCCATCTTTAAAGAGCAAGGCCGCAGCCAGTGTGTGAGCCCGCTCCGATGGCTGTCCAATATCAAGGCCATGCCTGAACTCATCTGCCTTCTTGCACTCTGTTCTCCTTTTCAGTCTCTGTCACAACCACGTTACCCTGGGGGTGTCACCCACATAAAGACGCCCCTGGAATGTCCTTCCCACCAGGGCCTTTGCGCCCAGGCCACTTGACATTCCACAGAAGTCCTGAGCCTAAGCAAGCCTGAGAACTGCCTACCTTGTTCCCCAAACCTGTGTCCCTTCAGGCTTCCCCACTCAGTGACCCCTGGTGAGCACCCATGAACAAGCAGCTGAGGCCTTTTAGTGGGCAGCCCAGAACCCCTGTGTGCGCCAGGGCCCAGAGTGTTACGGGGGCTCTGATCTTGGGAGGGACAGCCACGTTCCCGGAGGGCCCCACGTCTCTGTAATCAGTGGACCTACCCAGTCTTCCTGGACTCTGGCATTGGCCGGATTGCCCTACCTGTAACTCTGGCAGGAAGATGGGTGGCAGTTGGGAAAGCCAGACGTGGGAAAAGGCCAGCCACCACCCAGCAGGAAAGCTCAGGCTCAAGGCAGTGACCAGGTCAGCTCCCGGAAAAGGGGTGGCTACCTCAGGCCGCACAGGATCCTCGATGCCCACGACAGCGATGCAGGTGAGGTCACCCACCACTTCGTTCTCGTTGTCCCAGTCGGGCTCCTGGCCTTCAGAGAAGTCTCGGTAGGCAACGCAGATGGTGCGCAGGCCATCACAAGCCATTGGCTCTATAACCTTCTTCACCATGTCATCCCGGTCCCGAGGACGAAAGCTCCGGAGCTCCCCGTTGCTGTTTAAGATGTTGGTGCACCTGGGCAGGGAAGCGGGCGGGGTGAGGCGGAGACAGGAAGAGAACAAGAGAAAACAGTGCCTGTCACACCGGATTAGGGTGGGGCCTTAGTCAATGATTGGCTCCCTTATAAAGAACAGGGGACGCAGAGACAGGGTGGACGGGGAGAATGGCATGTGACGCCAGGCAGAGGGTGGCACGGTGCCGCTGCGAGCCACAGCACTGAGGACGGCAGCCACCTCCAGAAAGTGGGGGAGGTGGCAGGGATCAGCCCTTACAGCTTTCAGGGGAATACAGCCCAGTCCACCCTTGACCTTGGGCTTCAGGCCTCTGGAACTGATAGGTGGGAAATTTCTGTTGTTTGAAGCCACCTGGTTTGGTGACATTTGTTCCAGCAGCCCTGGGACACTCATACATTGCAGTTGGCCAAGCGACCTGGGTGGGAGGGAGGATGTGAGGTTATGACAGGTGTCCCATGGACTCCAGGAAAAACCGAGGGCCACGCACTCAGGTAGCAGCCATGTCAGCCCAAGGTCTGATGGCCTGGGAGTGCCTCAGAAGCGACAGCCTGGGGGTTCAGCCAGAGACAGGTGTGGTGGAAGAAGGAAATGGGGCCTCCAGTGGCAGGTGCCACAAGGAACCGGCTGTCAAGATGGGAGGTGGGACAGCACTCCCAGGAGATCAATATTCCTTCCAGCTCCATGTTAGGAAGGGAAACTGAGGCAATGGGGTCCGAGATCAGCCCCAGCAGCAGAGCTTGGGCCCACAGTGCCCACCAGAAGGCAGACATGGAAAGAAGACTGGGCACCTAAGTCCAGCCTCCACCCCAGCCCAGCAGGTCAGTGTCAGGTAGAGGTGGGAGGTGGCCTTTGGTGGGGCCACCTGGGGGCACGCACGCTGGGCTGGTGGCCAGGTAAGGGCGCACTTGGTGACTGGGTCTGCTGAGGCTGCAGCACGGGAAAGCCTGGCATTCTGTTCAGGACTCTGTTCCCAAGGCTTGCTGCGGGGAGGAGCACACGGGGGACAGAGGGCCAGGGCCAAGGATGCAGGCTGAGAAAGGGCGGGGCAGGGGCATCTGAGGGCAGGTGCATGCCCCTTCCTTCAGTTTCTTAGCAGCTTTATTGATATATAATTCACATACCACACGATTCTCCTATTGAAAGCGGACAATTCAAACGTTCTTGGGATATTCAAAAATACATACAAGTGTCACTACAGTCAACTAGAGCATTTTTATAGGCTCGGAAAGAAACCCCACAAAAACCATAACAGCAGGGACAGACACTTGGACTTCATCACAGCCTTCAAACATGTGTGTCTCAGGACACTAGCAAGAGTGTGAAAAGACATCTCATGGGATGGGAGGAAATATTTACAAATTATAGATTTGATGGAGATCTAGCATCCAGAATATATAAAAAACACTTCAAACTCAACAGTGAAAGGACAAACAACCCAACTGAAACACGGGCAAAGGAGACCTAGAGATGACCACTGAGCCCAGGGAAAGTGGCTCAAGATATAGTCTTTGGGGACACACAAGTCACAACCACCACGAGTTCCCACTGCATGCCCACTAGGATGGGAAGGATAATAGTCACAGAGGAAAATAACAAATACTGGTGAGGATGAGGAGATGAAATCCTTCTACTTTGCAGGTGGGGACATGGGACAATGGAGTCCTTTTGAAAACCATTTTGGCAGGGGTCTCAAAAAAGTAAGCACAGAGTTACCACATGGCTGGGCCATTTCACTCCTAGGTAGAGGTGATGGTTAATTTTGCATACACTGAGGACGCTGAGAAAATCGGCACCAAGAAGTGGAGTGGTTGCTGTGACTGGAGGTGACAACATGGAAGAGTCTTTAGAACTGCTTTGCAGAAGGAGTCTTGGAAGAGTTTGGGGAAGCAGCCTAGAGAAAGCCTATAGTGCTGTAAACAGAGATTCCCAGCGACTTGGGTGGGTGCTTGGAGGCCCAAGTGCTGACCAGATGCCAGCAGCACAGGTTATGCTGATGAAGTTTCAGATGGAGCAAGGGTTCTGGTGAGTAATGGGATAAAAGCTCACCCCTGTTATCTGTGGTGAGAAAAACTTGGTTGCATTTTGTCCATGCCCTGAGACTTTGTGGGCATCTGACTTTAAAGGTGACAGACTCATCTAGAGGAGAAAATTTCAAGGCAGCACAGCATTTAGGTGACGGTATGGGTATTGCTGGCTGCTTTAAGCCAAATTAACTGTGAGAATTGGGAGCAAGGAGGAACAGAGTGAGGCTGGAAAAGAAGTGCTCATGAAGTTCTGGCTAAGGAAGGTACAGTTGCAGTTGCTACTGCTGCTAAAAAGGAGATAATACTTTCCTTTTGGACCACAGGGAAGACACCTGAGAGAATCTCAGATACTGGCAAGACCATGGCCATCACAGGCTTAGACATGGAGAAACGCAAATTTGTGTCAAATACTTTCCAGGTCAGTCTTTGGAGAAGAGAGCCCCAGGTTGCCCTGCTCACCCAAAAGCACCTAGGGTATTGTTTTCCTGGGATTATTTTTCCTATGTTCATCCATGCAGGCACTCAGGGCCATAGGAACCATGGTTCAAGGGGGCCCAGGTACAGCTTACACTGGTGGCAGACCTGGACATCATCTGTGTGATGCTGGGTTTGTAGGCATACAGAGTGCAAAAGTTATGGGGCCTTGGAGGCTTCTACCCAGATTGCAAAGGCAGGCCTGTGGGACAGGTAATGTGCGGCAGAAAAGCTAATCTTGAGGGAAGCCATGAAGGCTGTACCCAGCAAAGTCACAAGGGTGAGGCTGCTCAAATCCTTGGGGCCCACATCCCACCACAGTGTGTCCCAGATGCTGGCCCTGGAGATTTCAGGTTTAATGTTTTTGCTCCTGGGTTTTGGTCTTGCTTTGGTCTGATCTCTCCATATGACTTTCCTATTTCTCCCCTCTTGGAATGGGAATGTTTACCTTTGTGCTACTGCATGTTGGCAGTGTTTAACTTTCTTTTCTGATTTTTACATGGGGCTTACAGTTAAGCGTTTGCCTTGACTCTCAGAGGAGACTTTGGACTTGGACTTTTGAGCAGTGCTGGAATTATTAAGAATTTGGGGACTTGGGGAGATGGACTGAGTGCATTTTTCATTGTGAGGTGGCCATGTGCTTGTGTGAATCAGGGTGGGATGCCATAGTTTGGATCTAGAACATTTCCCAGAAGCCTATGGATTAAAGGCTTGGTCCCCAGATTGGTGCTATCAGGAGGTGGTGAAACTTTAAAAGGTGGAGAGGAGATTTTAGGAGGAGATTTTAGGTCACTGGCTGTGTGCCCTTAAAGGAGGCTGTGGGATTGTGGTCTCTTCCTCCTTCTCATTGCAGCCATGAAGTGAGTGGCTTTTTGCTCCACTACACACTCCCTGTAGTGCCCTATAATGGGGCCAACAGGCCATGGACTGAAACTTACAAAAGCTGTAAGCCAAAATAAACCTTTTCTCTTTATAATTTGTCCATCTAGTTATCTGTTACAGTAATGGAAAGCTAACATAGCATATATCCCAAAAAGCTGAAAATATGTGTTCGAACAGTAATGTGTACATGAATTTTCATGGCATTATTCACCATAGCCAAACTGTGGAAACATTCCTGGTCTGTCCACAGGTAAATGGGGAAACAAAATGTGGTCTTCTCCATACAGAGGGATAGTATTCAACTGTCAGAAAGGAATGAAATTCTGATATATGAGGACATTATTCTCAGGGAAAGAAGGCAGACACAAATGCCACAAGGTGTACGATTCCATTTATATGACTTGTCCAGATTAGGCAAATCCAAAGAGACAGACAACAGAGCAGTGGTTGCTCAGGCTGAAGAGTAACTGCTTAATATATCCAGAGTTTCCTTTTAAGTGATAGAAATGTTTTGGAACCAACAGTAGTGATGGCTGACATTGTGAATACACTCAATGCCAGCAAACCACATAGTTTAAAGTGGTTAAAATAGTCACTTGCATATTAGGTCTATTTTGCCACAAACAAAGCAAGAGATTTTGTGTATACACTTTAGCTAGCCCCAGCCGCCCGGCCCCAGGCTCTTTCCTATGGCCCACTCACTTTTTGAGCAGGATCTCTGAGGCCCCCTTGCTGAAGAGGCGGAAGCCACCGTCAGGCATGTGGATGACCGTGCTCATAGACTTGCGGACCGAGTTGAAGGTGTACACTTTGTAAAGTTTATCTTCTGGAATCTGCTCCCGCACGGGCTGGAAGTCCCGCTTCAGGTCCAGCACGAAGCCCAGTAGAGCGCACTCAGTCTTATTCCCCACCTGGCGTGGGAGGGCACCTTCCTTCTCTGGAGGCTGCAGGGTGGGGAGAGCCAGCATGGCGTGGGGGCTGCGAGCACCCCTGTGCTGCCCCTGGGCCTTGCCTCCTGCCGGGCTGTGCCCTCCACACTGGTAGGATGGCAGAAGGAGGCCCGGTGTGGACTAGATGGGCCCTGCCCTAGCTGCAAAGTAAGCCCTTGAGGGCCGATTTCCCATCATTCACTAGGCCCCGCCCAGCAGCCAGAGCACCCTCTCATGCTAGAGACAGGAAGGGGGGTGGCCAGTACCCCAGAGCTTCTGCTCCAAAGTTCTTGATTTTATTGTTGTTTGTTTTTTCTTTGTGGTGCCGGACACAGAACCCAGGGCGTTGTGCATGCCGAGCAAGTGCTCTACCACTGAGCTGCACCCCTAGTCCCTCCAAACTCCTAAGGGGGCCTTGTGAGCCCCTTGGGATGCTCATGCCATGCCCCCAGCCCCACCCCTGCCCTCGCCCTGCAGCAGCCCTGCCAGCCTGCCCTCCTGCGCCTGCTCACTAGTATTTTGGTGGTGTAGGCACTGTTGATGGAGATGGCATGGACCAGGAGGTCAAGGATCTTGGGGGTCAGGACGCTGGGGGCTGGAATCTCCTTGTAGTGGGTGTCTCCTAGGTAGGACTGGACCACGGTCATGCGGTTGGTGGTGAGCGTGCCCGTCTTGTCCGAGCAGATGGCCGTGGCATTGCCCATGGTCTCGCAGGCATCCAGGTGGCGGACCAGGTTGTTGTCCTTCATCATTTTCTGCAAAGGGCACAGAGGGAGTGGGGGGTTCTTGGGTTGTTTGCTCAGCAGGGAAAGGGGAGTGAGACGTGGTCAACACAAGCATGGCGTGCATGTGGCACTGACAGCCCACTGGGGGTCTCGGTCGGCACGACGCTGGGTAGTGGCCAAGGCGAGGGAGCAGGTACACGTCAGGTGGCTGCTGTCCCCGGAGCCCTCTCTTGGCTCCCCTGCTGGCCTGTGGCTCCCCATAGCACCCTGGCTCGCCTATGCTCCCCGTGTCACAGGCGTCCCCCGGGGTCTCCTGCCTCTCAGCCCCTTGCCAGCCACACCCCACTCCCTTGTCTGAGTCTGTGGGATGGAACCAATTGGAAAGCTAGTGATTACCTTGACAGAGTAAGCCAGGGAGATGGTGACGGCAAGAGGCAGGCCCTCGGGCACAGCCACGACCAGCACAGTGACGCCAATGATGAAGAACTTCACAAAATACTGCACGTAGACTGGCGTGCACTCTGCCAGCCATACCCGGCCATCCACAACGAAGGTCTCGATGACGAAGTAGAGGACCAGGATGATGACAGTGATGGCCGACATCACCAGTCCTGCCCAGCCGTGATGGGCGCCGTGCAGTGGGCAGAGGGAGGGAGGAGAGGGGAGAAGAGGTTAGGGCCACTGTAGCCGCAGCCAGATTGAGCCAGCCCAGGGCCTTCCTTAGGGCACCCAGGTCTGCCCTGTGCTAGGGGAGAAGCCCTGGGGGGCGTGGCTCAGGGTGTGGCCTGCGTGCACCGGGGCCTACACAACCTGCCCCACGGCTTTTCCCTGCTCCACATGCCCTGCTGCCATCCCCAGGAGCCCAGGTCGCTGTGCCTGCTCAGCGGCCCCTGGCCCTCCAGCTGTCCCTACCTGCTTTCCCAATCTGCACAGCCAGTTTCGTGAGCTTGCCCTGCAGGACCGACTTCTCCTTCTTGGGCACGCTGGCTTTCTTCTTCTCCCGCTCCTCCATCTCCCCGCCCTCTGCGCTCTTCAGGGGCTGCATTTCCATGGCAACTGCCCCGTCTTGCTTCTTGGCTGGACACAGAGGAGCCCAGTGGGCGACGTTAGGGTCCAGCCAGGGGAAGGGTTTCAGGGGACTATCACCAGGGTAACATGCTGCACCACACAGAGGATGTGGGGGCTCTGTGGGGGGGTGCTGAATTCCAAGCTCCGCATGGCCTTCCCCGTGCGCCTGCCTAAGCCCAGGCCCCCCCGCGGGAGGCGGGCTGCTGCAGCACCGTCCTGGTGGGACAGAGACTTGGTTGTCTCACGGGAAGGGAAGACAGACACAACACAAGGAATTTAGGCACAGACACGGTGGCCATTCCTGGAATGTCCCACATCTCAATACCTGGGAGCAAAGGCCTGAGGTCTGAAGAGTGTTCCCGGAGCTGAGGCGGGCTCCTCTGCCCCCGGTGGCGTCTAAGCCACTTCCTGGCTCCCCTCCTCCCGGCCCGCCTGGTCCTGCTGGGGCCGTCTCCTCCCGTCGGCCTTTCTGTCCCCTACCTGCCTCTTTTGCTTCCCTTTGCTTCTCCTGGGTAGGCCCCTCGCACCTCATCTTCACTGCCTTTGATGGGGTAGGTGAGTCCCCCAGCTCCACCAAGCCCCAGCCTCACACACCCAAAGAATTCATGTCTGCAGGAGGGGCCACCTGACCGGCATTCGGGGTCCCCAAGCTGACCTTCCTTCCACTTCACTGGTGACCCCGTGCACGGCGCTCTTGGCCCCACGGCCATCACCTTTGCGCCCTTTCCCCCGATTTGGGAACCCGAGGCCACTTGCTATAGCTTCTTCCGCCCAGAGGCCTCTAGGACAGGCCAGGCCCTGTCCAGCTGAGCCACTCCAGCCCTGTACCCCACCTCCACACGCCTCCTCAGCCCAAGGCTCCAGCCATCAGGCTGTCCTGTCCTGAATGGCCCGCCAACCTCAGGTATGCTGCAGTTGGTTGGGGTGACCCTGACCTTGGGGTGACCCTGGGTCCCCAGTCGGGCGAGCACAAGCCACATAGAGCTCTATCTGCCTCTGTCTGTGACCTTCCTGAGGGCCGGGGCCGTGCTATAGCCCCATGTTCTTGTCACCTAGAGCTGAACACTGATTTGACCTGACATCTTTCCTTGGGTCACCCCTGCGCCCCCCAGCCACTTCTTCCTGTGTCTCCCAGTGCCCACCAGGCACCCGGGCCTCTGCCCTTTGGATGTTGGCCATGACCCTGACCCATGGGCTCAACTGCAAGGGTGCTCACCTGGGAAGCCCAAAGGACCAGGACCCAGAGCTTTGGACAAGTCACCCTCTCTGTGCCTCAGTCTCCTCATTTGGCCAAATGGACCAAGATGCTCACTCTTTGCAGGCACAAGCTGGCTACCCCCTAGGCAGCCCCTCTAGACTTCTGGCAGTGGCTGTAGGTGGGCAGCTTGGAGCAACCTCAGAGTGCCCCCTCCACCCTTTGGCAGGGATGGGACCACTCACCTGGCCTCTAGGTGCCGCTCCTGCTGGCCGTGGGCGGCCCCTCCCCCAGCCCCCCTGCCCCACACCACCCCAGTTCCTGGCTGCCCAGTGGCGGCTTGCATTACCTCTGGTCTGGCTACTGTCCATCGCCCCATCCTGCTGCTTGCCTACAGTGGGAAAGGAATGACAGACACGGAGACTTGAGAACACCCACATGGCCAGGACACACGCACACATGCACAGGACAGTGGGCAGAGCTGGGGCACAGACAGTGCAGCCCAGGATGTGGGATGGGGCTGTCACCACCTCCCACCACGTGGCCACCAGACATTTTCTGGGTGTCCTGAGCAAAACCACCGGCCAGGACATTGTGAACCCTTAATGTCAACCCTAGATGGGCCCTAGGCCACACAGGGCTGGGGCAGGAGATGCCCACACCCCCAGTGTAACCCACTGGGTTTCACGCCCAGGCACCCTGCCAGCAGTTAGCTCTGTGTGTGCGTATGCAGGACTCTGTCAGGTCTCGGGCACCTCCAGGGCAACCTACGATGGGGCTTGTATGTGTGCCCAGGGCCACCGTACAGGAGGGCCCGCCTGCGGGGAGGGTCAGGCTGGGCCCTAGTGGACCTGTCTGGGCATGGGAAGGTGGCTGATGGAGGAGCTGTGCTGGGCCACATCTGCCCTGGCTCGGATCCCGGCAACAGGGGCTTGTGGCTTGGCCTGCTGGTTCCTACGCAATAGCTCATTGTCACTGGAGATCCAGGGACAGACAGGGAGCCACGCTGCTCCTAGTAGTGAAGTGGAGTTCTTTGGTTTCCAAGAAGGAAGGACAGGCCCTCCCAGCCGGAGGCGGGGCACAGATTGGGCCCTTTCTGCCCAGGGCCCCTGTGCAGGCTGGGGCAGTTCAGAGGGAAAGGAGATAAGGGGGAGGGCGGTGCAGAGGGGACACCCATAGACACAGGATGACAGCATGGTGACAAAACAGCACAACAGAGGGTGTTGCAGGATGGACCACAGAGCAGTATGCAGACAGGGCTGGGGAAGCCTCTGAGGAGGGAGGTTTGGGGTGAGTGAGCGCTGTGGGGAGAGGTGGCCTGGAGTGGGGACAGGGCCTCGGGGAGGCAGGCACCTTGTGGGAAAGGTTGCAGAGGAGCCATGGTTGGCCAGAGAGAAGAGGAAGCAGGTGGGCAGGGCGCGCCTCCCAAGTGCACCCAGCAGGCTAGGCTCACCGCCAGAGGTCAGGGTTAGGGCAGGCAGAGGGAGAGACGCTGGGCACAGTGCGTTCTCCTCCTGGAAGCCAGCCTCCCCAGGGCCCTAAACTGCACAGTATGAGAGGGTCCTGGAGAGGAGTGAGATGCGGGGGGCAGGTTCAAAGAGGAGGGGCCCAGGACCAAGCTGTGAAAGGCACCAAGGGTGAAGGGACGGAGGAGGAGGCCAGAGCCTCCAAAGGGACCAGGGGACACCAAGGCTGGAGGCTCTAGCAGTCTAAGAGAGGGAGCCTTGGCGTGGAGGTGGGGTGGAGGGTCCTTTGTGGAAGGGGCTCCCTGCCACCAGCTGTGACCAAGAGGCCGCCAGACAGGGCCAGCTGTCATCCCTGAAGAGAGGCCTGGGGATTCCAGCCCAGCGCAGCCTAGCCCAGCCTATGCCTAGGGCCCGCCTAGCTGCCTGGGTACCCTGGTGCTCACTGGGGAAGGACCTTAGGCTGAGGCTCGTGGAAACAGGGGTGTGGTGCAGCAAAGAGGCGATGGCAGTGGGCCTAGCCTTCCAGGAGCAGGGTGGCGCCCATGCAGGGAGTTGCAGGCTGCCAGGAGACAAGGCCCACGGAAGCTTCTAGCAACAGCAGCCCACAAGAGCTGGGAGCTGGAAGAGATGGCATGGGCTGGGGCTGCTAGTGCATCCTCCCTTATGCCAGCCTGTCCCTGTGAGGTTGGGGGTGGGCAGGCCTAGGCTATCTGCAGCCTGAGACTGACTGTTCTCTTGCTGGCTCCCTGGTCCCAGGCCCTGCTGGAGGCCTCTGGCAGGAAGCTGAGTTCTGGCCACATGTGAGAATCTCTGGACTTCTGGGTAGATTCTCCTGGGTGGGAGGCACAAGCCTAGAAATCTTTGCGCCCCACTTGGTTTTGGCTGCAGGAGAGGCAGAGCCAGAGAAGTGGCACGCAAGTATGGACCTGAGTCACAGTAGTAGTCAGGCTGGGCCTGCGGGGCTGTGACCTGGGAGGGTGGGGAGGCACTGGGGTCTGGCTCTCCCCAGCAGTGGACCTTCCGCACACAGACAAGAAAAAAAAGCAGGGACCTAGCTGGAGGGCCACCATTGGCACCGGAAACCAGAAGTTGGTGTTGCCTTACCTTTCTTATCCTTTTTTTCTTCCTCCTCTCCTCCAGCTCCCAGCAAGGTGAAGATGATGCCTGTCTGGGAGTTCACGCCAACTGCCGTCACCACCATTCTTCCTGAACCTTCCATGACATGAGTGCCTGGCACAGCAACACAGAGACTGAGAGAGAGATCTGCACCCCCCGGTGGGCGACGTGTTCAGTGCCTGCAGGTTCACTCCCGGAGAATCCCAGAGGCAGGGGCTCGGCACCCAGAAGTCACCAGAACTCTGTTGGCCTTAAGGCTAGACTGCAGCCTGCTCCCCGGCTTAGCAGGGACCCAGAGGCCCACAGAGGGGCAGGTGGTGAGCCATTCACAGCGTCCTCCAGGGGCCAACATTTCCCCCGGGCTAAGTCAGAACCTTCAGGAAAAGGAGCATTGTGTCTACTGGGTCTTCTCAAGGGTCTGAATCTATGAGGAGCACTATGCTGAGCCCCAGCAAGCTCTTCCCCACTTGGGGCTTCCCATTCTGGACACAGAGGCCTTATTAAGCTAACAGCACCTACTTTCTTACCCTGTGGCTGCAGCTGCCACCATCAGCTCCCCGCAATGGCCTTGTGATGGCTCCCCAACTAGAAGGGCCACTTAGGGAGGCTGTTGGGAAGATGAGCCTGGCAGGCATTTGGGCCAGATGGCTTCCAAGTTGGCTTTGTGCTGGGCTGGCTGGGAAGGTGGTCCTCACCTGACAGCAGCATGGGGTCTTTGTCAGCTGACTTGCGCACGTGGTCTGACTCGCCCGTCAGGGAGCTCTCATCGATCTTGAGGTCATTACCCTGGATGAGCACACCATCTGCAGGCAGCAGGTCTCCTAAAGGCCAGCACAGAACCAGAACCAAAGACTATAGGTCTCTAGGGCCTTTCTCCCCATTGCCTCCTCCAAACTACCACAGGGGAGGTCCCTTTGGATATGATGGGTCACCTGGGAAAGACACTTGGGAGCTCTCTTCCTTCAGTCTCCTCCTTTGGGATGATGTCATGGTTTAGGTCTAAAATGTCCCCCAAAAGTCTCATGTCTTCTGAGGTGGGGCTTTTGGAATGTGATAGGATCATGTGATTGCTATACTCATCAGTGGATTGATGCACTGATGAGTTCAGTAGGTGACTGTGTTGTCAGTAGGTACGGCCTGGTCAGAAGAGGTGGGTCATTAGGAGAGTGACCTGGAAAAGTACATTCTTGTGCTGAGCTCTTCCCTTTTCTCTCTGTTTCCTGGCTGCCATGGGCTCAGACCTTTCAGGTGCTTCTCCACCGCGTGATTTCTGCCTTGGAGCCAACCAACCATGAACTGAGTCCTCTAAAAACCGTGAGCCTGGACCGGGGATATAGCTCAGTGGCATAGCACCTGCCTGGCAAGCACAAGGTCCTGAGTTTGATTCCCAGTACCAACTCTCCCCCCCAAAAATAAAAAACCCTATAAGCCAAAATAAACTCTCTTCCTTTGAGTTGTGGCTGTCAAGTATTCTGTCCCAGTGATGGGAAAGTGACTAATACAGATAATACCAGGAGTGGGGTCATGGCTGTGACTGTACCTGATCATATGGTTTTAAGAAAGGTTTTGGAACTTGTCTGTGGGAGGAGTTGGGAGAGTTTGCAGATATAGGCCAGAGAAGACCTAAAATGCTGTAAGCAGACACTGATGGGGGATTCTGGTCCAGAGCTCAGAAAACCAGAATGCTGATAGGAATACAGACAGTGAGGCCCAAGCTCAGGAGGTTTTAGATAGGAATGAAGATTCTATTGGAAAAAACTGGGCTAGAAACCATGTATGTTTCATTCAGGCAAAAAATTTGTCTACGAAAAAAAATTGTCTACATTGTGTCCATATCCTAAGACTTCATGTGATGCTGAATCCAAAGCTTTCCTTCAGAAAGGAAGCATCTATAAAGTTGGGGCCCAGGAAAAATGTGGTTGCTGAAAAAATTAGCATTAAAAAGAACCCAAGTACTTTGCATCAGGACAACAGGAAAGGAGGCCAGAAGGCATCTCAAAAATTGGCTCACCACCACCCTTCACAGACTCAAAGGTGCAAAAGTGTAAACCTTTCATTTAAGAAGAAAGCCTCTGAGCCCCCTGTTTGAGAAGGATCATCTAAGGAATCGGTTCTATGGGATTCCTTTCACAGTGCTCAGCCATCTAGGCACTCAGAGACCTCTGCTGCCATGGTCTAAGGGGGTTTGGCTACTGCCAATTCTAGTGGCAGGTCTTGATGTTGTCCATGTGATTCTGGTTTTACTGGCATGTAGAATGCAAGAGTTGTGAGGTCATGAAGAGATCCTCCCAGATTTCAGAAGAAGGCCTGGACAGCCAGGCAGTGTGACCCTGAGGGGCTAGTGAGTGAAGCTGTGAGAGTAGAGCTGAAAGTGCAGTGGAGACTCCAGGAATTTGAAGATTCCAGGAATGTGGAACTTCTCCTGAAGAAAGCCATAGGCAGTGAGTGGAACCAGCCCAAGGAAGGCCATGTAGGCTGCGACCAGCAAGGCCATAGGGGCGGTGCTATTCAAGCCCTCTGGAGTTCACATCTCACCACCACCTGTCCTAGTGCTGGACATGGGGCTACTGGAGTTAATGTTTGCCCTTCTAGGTTTTGAGCTTGCTTTGGTCCCATTCCTTTCTATCTCCCTATTGGAATGGGAAGGTTTACCCTGTGTTATTGGCAGTGTTTAACTTTCTTTTTGATCTCTGCAGGGTTTTATAGCCAAGTTTGCCTTGAGTCTTAGAGAGACTTTGGGCTTGAACTTGTGAGAAGTGCTGAAATTGTTAAAACTTTGGCAACTCTTTGAGATGGGCTAAATGTGTTTTGCATAATGAAACAGACATGCATCCTTTGGGGGCCAAGGGCAGAGTGTTATGATTTAGAACTAAAACGTCTGCTAAAAGTCTCATATAGTCAATGTGAGGCTTTTACAATGTGACTGGATCATGGGGGTGTATACTTATCAGTGGATTAATACACTGATGAGTTCAGCAGCTGAATATACTGTTAGGAGGTGGCCTAAGTCACTGGAGGTGGGACCTGGAAGGGTATATTCTTGTCCTTGGCTCCTCACCTTTATGCTTCCTGGCTGCTATGGAGTAAGCATCTCTCCTCTGTGATGCCCTTCTGCCACACCACCCTGCCTTGGAGCCAACAAACCATGGACTGAATCTTCTAAAAACTGTGAGCCAAAATAAACTTCTCCTTTAAGTTGTGGGTGTTAAGTATTTGGTCCCAACAGTGGGAAAGTGACTAAGACAGAGGGGGACCACCCACACCTAACCAGGGAACAGGGACATTTGCATCCTTCAGTAGTGACGAAGACCTCTGCAGAGGCTATAGGAACAGCCTGCTTCTTGGGGACACTGTTGTGTCTCAAACTCTGCCTCCCCCCAGGCTCGCACCTGTAATATCCCTTGTCTCCAGCCCCCCGCAGGTGAAGGCATGGGTGCTCCCAAGGAGACAGCCTTGCTGGGGACTCTTGTCTGGCCCAGTCTTTCTGGAAAGGGAAGCCAGATTTCTTGGAGGGGTGAGTGAAGACCGATACACTCACCATACTTGACCTGGGCAATATCCCCTACCACCAGTGCAGCCACAGGAACCTGGAGAAGCTGCCCGTTCCGGATGACCGTGAACTTCTGCTCCTGTTCAATGCGACTCTGCAGGCCTCGAAATTGCTTCTCCTTGCTCCAGTCATTGAAGGCCGTGACCAGCACCACGCAGATGACGGACAGCAAGATGGCGGCCCCCTCAATCCAGCCGGCCTCTGCTTCACCCTCATCTTCTGCCCCGCCAGACACATTCCCACAGGCTGTGCCCGAGGATGGAACAGAAGCAGAAAAGAAGTCAGGCTAGCCTGGGCAGGGCCATCTGGAAGCCACCCTCGTCTCCTTCCTGCCCAGACCCCTGGGCCGTACCTTCGCTCTCCTCTCCAGGTGGTGCATAGAAGGAGAGGCCCAGGGACACGATGGCAGCCACCTCCAGGATGATGAGGGTCACGTCCTGCAGGGCCTCCCACACCAGCTGCAGGAAGGTCTTGGGTTGCTTGGGGGGGATGAAGTTCTGCCCATAGATCTGCCTGCGCTTCTCCAAGTCATTGGTGTTGTCTGCCAGGCCTGCATGGTGCCCCACAAGGGCAGCAGAAGCACAGAGGGACAGGATGGGGCAGGTCAGCCTGAGCCCTGGGCGCTGCAAGCAGTCCTCTAGATGGTGCCTTGGAACAGGGCAGGAGCTGTCCAGGCTAGGGATGGTGACCTTTCTGCAGACCCACATGCTAATGAGCATGAGGCCATCCGTGGCCACAGCAAGGAGCTTCAGCCTGGGAAGGGGAGCTGCCAGCCTCCTTCCTATGCTCAAGTGAGAAAACAGGCCAGGCAGCCTTGAGGCTCCAGTGGTCCGAGTCTCTGGGACTCCAACCCGGGCCACATGCCTCCTTCATGCATTCTCAGTTGATTCCCGAACTGCCTCATCCTACCTCCCAACTGTCACTGAGGGGGGACTTGCAGGAACGTGATCGTGCCCAGCAAGGGGGAAGTACAGGAGAGACAGGGCAGGAGCAGAAGACAGCAGCCAGCGGCCCTGGGAGTTACCAATCAGAGGGGTGCGGGTGACAACAACCTGGCTTCTCTGGGGCCAGAGAAGTATCAGGGCCCTCTCCGAAGGGTGACTCTTCCAGCCTGGGACGATCTCTCCAGCCCCAAACATTTGGACTTGCTGTCATCCACAGAGCCCTGTGCAATCACCCGCCCAGTGCCAGACAGGAACGTATAACTGAGACAGCCACCAGGCTTGGCCACACCCTGGCCCCATGGCCAGGCCCTTAGATTTGCAGGGTCATACAGTTAATTTGCACAGGGGGCAGGGCCCAGGGCCCAGGTGGACCAGGAGCCTTTGAAATGATAACCTGCTGAGAACAGAGGGGTGGTTACTAGTGACAAGGATGGAGGCGCACTTTCCAGAAGTTTCTCAGAGAAGGAGCAAAGAGAGGAAGCATGATAGCTGGGGGTGCAGAGACAAACCAGGGGTACTGCGAGTGTCACGTGAGGGGAACAGGGGACCCAGGAGAGGAGGTAGGGGGCCAGGGCCAGCTAGGGAGAAGCAAAGCCAGAGTCCTGACGGCAGTGGCGAGTACCTGAGCTGATATCTTTGTGGTGGGTATTGTCTCACTGGGGGCTGTGCCAGGAATGAGCCCTGGCTGACTGTCAGGTGAGGTTCCAGTGCCCACGCACAGATGGGGGCCCACAGTGCCCACAGGTGTGCAGGGACACAGCTGCCTCGTTCCTAACGCCTTCCCCAGAGCCCACGCCAGCAGCAGCCTCCAGCCTGAGCGGGGGTCTTGGTGAAGGCTAGGACAGGGCGGGCCCCAGGGGCTGTGTATGTTCATGGTGACTGCCAAGTTTGGTGGCCTTGCCCTCACTCTTATGGGGCTCTGAGCCTCCACGTATGCTTAGCTACCTTCCCCAGGGGCGACAGCGGAAGTAAGGCTTCCTCTGTCCTCAGCCCCCTGCCCTTGGCCCCGGGGATTCCCAGCCCCTCCTCATGCTCTCACCGCCTCCCTGGGCTGCGGCCCACCCCCCGTGCCCAGCCACACTGCCACCTGGCAGATGGACGGCCCTGAGTCATCAGCTGGCCTTACTCCTGCCACCTCCTGATGGGGGCCAGGGCGCGGCTTGGCCCAGGTGGAAGGACCTCAGAATGTCTGCCCCAAGCTAGGTGACACCCACATGGTGTCCTCACCCAGAAAGGCCGCAGCTGTCCCTCCCTTTCTGCTTCTGGCCTCACTGTGTCCTGGCCCGGCTGGCAGCTCAGATTTCTGCTGGAGCCGAAGGCCTCTTTCTGAGGGCCGTAGAGAGGAACTCCAGCCGTAGCTCTTGGGGGCCGGGGACCCAGCTCAAGGACCTGTCTGTCACTCTGGACTCGGCTTCTCTCCTTCAGCTCTAGGAGCTATGAGAAATGAGGAGGCTCCAGAGCCTGGTGTCCCCAGGCACCGGCCCAGGGCCCCTGAGTACGAAAGCCCACTGTCACCTCTGGAGAGCCCACGGGTGCCTATGGCACCTTGTGAGTCTGTTCTTGCTTGCCCTGCTGCATGCCCTGATTGTCCCCGGGGCAGTGTGGCCTTTGGGCCCGGCCCTGGGAGCTCCCTCCTCACCCGGGTACCTGCCTTGACCGTGGCCTTGGTTCGCCCTTGCTACTGCAGCAACGCTTCTCCCTATCGTCGGCCCTTGTGGCCTTGGCCTTCCTGGGGGTGCGGGGGTCCTGACAGCTGCCACCACTGCCTCTGCACCCGCTGTGCGGGAGGGGCATGAGGGCAGCTGCAGCCCCTCCACTGCTGAGCACAGGCCTGCCCAGCAGGCCTTAGAGCGGCCTGGGGCTAGGGCACGGGGGCAGGGCCGGCCCGTTGGCATGGACACAGATGGGCTGCCTGCCCGGAGCACAGGCCAGATGCCATTGGAATTGGATTAGGACCACATCGTGTCGGCTCTTAGCTAATCTGCCCCTCCTTCCTAGGACTCCTGTGGAGAGCAGATGGGAGAGGGGAGCGCAGGGCCCAAGTCCCCAGCAAGCCTCTCCCCGAGGTTCCTGACCAGCCGAGCAGCTATCTTCAGATGTGCTCCGGAAGCTGCTGGGGTCTCCTCAGAGGCAGAGGGGAGAGTGTGGTGATAGGCTGTGATCGGCAAACAGAGCCCCTCTCCCAATGTGCCACGCACCTCCCGGCCTCCCCACTGTCCCCGAGTCCCTCCTGGGCACCCCTGTGTCTGTCTACCTTGCCAAGGCCATGGCATGGGGCCTGGGGGACAGCTAAGCTGGCCCTCCTACAGCTTGGCCACTGTATCTAAGCAAGACTGAGTGGGCAGGCCTGGCGGCTGAGCCAGCAGACCTGCGGAGGACCATGAGGCCTGGCTGAGGGAACCTGGGGAGTGTTCCTCATGGCTCCTGGCACCAGACAGCTGAAGCTGAGGAGCTCAAGAGGAGGGGCCGCTCCTCAGGCCCCGCTGGCTCCCTCCACAGGGACCCAGGTGCTCAGAGGCAGCCATGGGCTGAGCCACTTACCCGGGCACCTGCCCTTCTCTGCGCCTGCCCCCTCCCTGGGCACCAGGCGAGCTCCTGAGCTCTGCGGCTGAATCGGTAGGTTCCCAGGGGCCTTGACATTTTAAATATTTAACAAGGCCTGACAGGCCGAGGGAAGAGCCGCCAGCTGAAGCCCATCTGCTTCCTTTGATCTGGGAGAGGCCAGAGCCCTTGTGGCTAAATGGCTCTCTACCCTGGCCTCCTTGGAGGCCTCAGGCCTGGGGCAGGGGGCAAGGAGCAGGGAGGAGTGAGAGCCTCTGGCGCAGAGCCGCACCATCTGCCCCGACAGCATGCTCTCCAGGCTGGTGTGTGGCAGGACAGGCAGGACAGGGTGTCCATGGGCATGGCTGTGCCACTGCTCTCAGGGACACCCAAGCAGCTTGCCAGAGAGGCCACTGTCCCCGGAATTCCAACCTCTCCCACCAGCCTCGACTCCTCCCTTCTGAAGCCCAGGTGGGGTGAGGCCAGAGCAACGAGACCCTGCTTGTACCCCCAAAGACCCAGCGCCTGGGGAGGGCATGCAGGCTGGAGGGGACGGCCACACCCGGCCCGCGCAGAGGAAGTGAGCAGGAGCCGAAACATCCGAGGGATGGATTTAGAAACCAGAATGGGCAGGGCCTGGTGATGAACGGGATGGGGTGCCAGGGCACAGGAGCAGCTCAGGGTGACAGCCAGGGACAGCAGCACTGGGTGGGCCAAGGTGCCGCCGCCGAGACGGGCAGCTGATGAAATCAATCAGCACTGACCGGGAGTGAGCCTGGCATGGGGCTGGGATAGCCCAGGCAAGCCTGCCAAGCCAGTGCCAGCTAGGCCTCCAGCTCCTGCACTCTGGGCCTGGGTCTGGCCCTTGGGTGGTCCCTGCCTCAGAGGGGACCCCGGCCTCGGGGGCCCAGGGAAGGGCAGAGCTTTGCCCCACAGCCAGACCCCCACCCCAGTCCTTCCAGAGGAGGTCCATGAGGCTTCCAGAGGCTCACTGGGGTGCCGACACCGCGCGGGACAGCTGTGAGTGCTGCCACTTCCCATCGGCACCCCACCTCCTGTGCCCCAGAGGACTCGCACCCCGAACTGCCTTCCTCCTCTGTGGGTCCCTCCTAGCTGAACTCTGTGATGAGGACGTGGGGAAGCACCAAATATGCAGACAGGGGTCACATCCTCCTCCTCCATCAATGGGAGGCTGCCTGGGGGTTCATTTGGGTCCTCACCTCCCCTTCCCTCGCCTGGCTGTACAAGGTGGAGAAAAGCTGATTGTGGAGGTGCAGAAGAGACTCCCCGGGACTCCGTTACCAAGGGGACACCACCCCTCCAGCACAGCGCCTCCCATCCAAGGGGAAGAGGCCAAGCAGAGGTACAGTTAGGGGGCTGTCTAGGAAGGGCCCTGCCAGACCTACCCTCGGTGGGCGAAGTCTTCAGCCTCCGGCAGAGCCCACCGACGTCCCCGTAGGCTTCCTGGATCTTCTGCAGTGCCTCGGCCCCACGGAGCTCCATGAGGGCACGCAGCTCTGCCAGTGTGCACCCGAAGCCGCCCGCCTGGGGTGCCTCCCGCTGCTGCTGCGGCTTCGGGTGGAACTCGATGGAGCTGTTGGCCATGTCGCCCATCCTGCCTGTTTGGCCTTCGCGCAGGTGCGGCCTTGCCTCTGCCGCGAGGGACAGGGGGCCGGCCACCTGCAGTCCCGGTGCCCAGTGAGGCGCAGGGGCGGGGGGCAGTGGCTAAGTGTGGACACCTGGGGAGAAGGAGGCGAAGCCGGGGGAGTGGTTGAGACAACAACTGAAGTCCCATCTTCCAGAATAGAGTCTGTGTGAGCCATGACCTGCCAGATGCGAAATTCACCTCCCAGGTTGAGCCCTCCCCTGTCTCACCCTCCGTGAGTGCCCCAAGTTAGGTGGGCTTGCACAAGTGGGGAAGGAAGTCTTCCGTGCCTTCTGCTGGGGACCCTGCCACTACCCTCCTTCCATCTGGGGGCCTGGCTGAAATGAGGCGGTGACTGGGTTGGCAAAGGCCAGTGCTGCCTGTATGGACGGGTGGTCCCGGCCCTCCCCACCCGCTCCCGGCTCTTGCCTGATTAAGGCACGCCCAGTGCCGCTGGCATGCTCTTAATTCCGGTGGTCCGCTGGCGCTGCCTTGGTGCCACACGGCTTCAGGCCTGGGGCTGCGGCAGGCTCTGGGGAGCGGCCCGAGCCATGGACAGGGCTCCAGGTCAAGACTTAGTGTGCAGGGTGTTTCTGTGGCCCCGGGGGTACCTGGGAGTCAGGGAACAGGAAAGGAGGAGGCCGAGGGAGGGAGGAGAGAGAGGAGGTAAAGGGAGTGCAAGGAAAAGCGACAGGAAAGCGCACACGGGGCGAAGCCACAAGCAGCCACGGGTCACTGCTGACGGCTACCACCCTGTCCCCAGCACAGTGCCACCCACACCCTGCACACCCTCTCTCCTCCCGATGACAGCATACGAGCTAAGGCTGCTAGGTTGCGCGGCCTTCCCCTTTTGCAGAGAAGCATGAAGGTACAACCCTTTTACTATCCCCCCACCAGTGTCCTTGGCCACACCCCAGGGTCTGATAGGGGGAGCCCCAGGGTGCCCCTTCCTTGGCTGGACTGCAGCCCTCTGCAGCTTTGCTTTCCTCACATCTCCTTCCTGCCTGCACATCATAGGAGTGGCCCCCACATCCTCCCAGAGCGGAACCAATCTCCCACTGTGTGCCAGGCCTTGGTCTTCACATCAGCCAAGAGCCCCCTGGGCACTACGGCTCAGCTGGGCCTTTTCAGGAGCTCCTGGCTCAAAATGGCCCTCTTAAACTGGGTGGGGTGGCATACGCCTGTAATCCTAGCACTTGGGAGGCTGAGGCAGGAGGATCCTTGCGAGTTCAAGGCCAGCCTGGGCTGCAAAGCGAGCTCAAGGCCAGCCTGAACTGCATAGCAAGACCGTCTCAAAAAGACAAAAAAAATAATGGCCCTCTTAGAAGCAGAACTTAGCTGTCTGTCTGGATTTCAGACCTAGGACCACCCATGGAGACATGATGGCCCAGCACCCCGAGAAGAGACAGCATAAAGGCCCTCGGGCAGCCCAAAGGGAGCTGGCCAAGTCCATGGCCTTTGCTCTCACTTGAGCCCAGAATGCTGGAGTTGGGAGCAGCACAGCCCTCAGCAGGGGACCAGAGTCTTTAGGAAACAACGGCTCATTTGGACACATGTTCCAGCCTTAGGCCTTGATGACTTGCCCGTGAAGTCTTGAGGGACAGAGAAGGTATTTTAGAAAATGTCCATCCCAAGTGACCCCCATTTTAAGGTATGGAGCATCTAAGTGTTAACCTTTTGGACACCCCATCTGGAGCTGCCTTTACTTGTGGAAGATGGCGAACGAAATGGCAGACACGACACCACACCATTCTCTCCCACGCTCTCACGCCCCTCTCCAGCCCTTTCTTCCAGGTGGTTTATCTGGCCTGATCTAATGGGCATAGTGGGTCAACGAGACTAAACTAATTCTTTCTCTGTGACAGAAACAAGGTCAGGGCCAAGGGCCAAGAGCCATGAGGTTTGAAGAAAGGCCTCTGGGAGAAAGGACTGGGAGGAGGCTAAGGGGTGAACTGAGCTGGAGGATGGGGGCTGCAGTGGTGAGCCTGGAGCTGTGGGTGCCACACGCTACACCCCAGCCACCCACACGGTGCACAAATCACTCTCCTTTTCTCCAACACAGGGAACTGAGGTGGGCCAGAGGAAACAGCAGGGCTAGTAGAAGCTGGGCCTACTTCCTTGCCAGTAATGCCCAGTGCCACAGCCCCCAAGGCCTTGGCCGCTCGCTGGGACTCTGTGGTGGACGCTGCCAATGCTGCCCTCAGCCCTCTCCAGCCCTTCTCTAGCCTGAGCCCCAGGACCTGGGTGCCACTGTCTGTTTTGGGCTTTGTCTCCACCCCTGCCACCCTGTCTACCGGCTACCTGAGGGTGCATGGGTACAGTCTGTCCGTGCAGCCACTGGCTTTGACTCACACCAGCCCTTCCTCCTGCGAGCAGCTTCTGAGCCCCAGACTCTGATGCCCCAACCCCATAGCGCACAGCCCCAGGGCCCCAGCTGGGGGCTTGTGAGTCCCCAAGTGAGCTGCCTAGGGACTCCCCAGGGGCTCTTTCTAAAGGGGAAGCCAGAGGGGACATTTTGTTCCTTTGGAGCACTTGATCTGCTCAGCCTCCCCCAACTCCGAGAAGAAGGGTTCGGGTGAGCCTGGGCGGGGCTGGGGACAGCCTGGTCCCGCCAGAGACACCTGGAACTGCAGCCCTCCCGCTCCCTGCCCTGAGCCCTGGTGCGGCCCCGCCCTGGATGGAGCGGTGGTGCCAGCCTAGACAGAGCAGCCCTGGGTCATCCCTGAGCTGCTCCTGGCTGCTGTGCCGTCGTCGCTGTGGCTGATTGGACCTGTGGTGATTCATGCTCAGGACGCTGGGCAGGCAGGCCAGGCCAGAGCTTCTGATGCACTCAAGCTGGGCCCCCTCCCTGCAGCTAGAGGGACAGTGCCCCTCAGGTGACCAGCCGCCAGGCCACTCTGAGTCACCACCTCCCTTGTTCAGGCACCATCACTGGAGACACTGAATCCCCTGCTGGCTCTGCCACACCCCTGGTTCCAGTCCCCCAGCCACTGAGCACCTCCTGCCTCCTCTCCCTGCTGTGCGTGGTGGCCACCGTCCCTCTGCTGGGCCACACAGCTTGGGGCCCAACCACACAGCCTCTTCCCATCTCTACCTGCTGACCTCCATTGGACTCTCAGTCTGAGTCCCCGTGGAATGCTCCCAGGAAAGCCTGCCGGTTACTTCACCACACTCGATCGCTGCCCAGTCTCTGACCCCACAGCCCACTCCTACCTCGCTCGGCTTCGCCTCATAGTCCTGAGGGCTGTGTCTGTCCCACCCACCAGGGCTTAGCTCTTTGGGTGCGCGGTCACGGAGCTGGCAGGAACCCCCGGTGCAGTCAGCTCTGGACGGGGACGGGGGCCTGGAGGGATGAGTGAACGGGGGCCTGGCCCTCCAAGAGGAACTCAGAGCTCCAGAAGGTGGAGGATTCTCGTCCTGGACAGCTGGCGGACATGGGGTGGGGCGGGGTGGGATCTGTCTTCATGAACTCACAGACCGCAGGGCAGACCAGGGCCATCGGTGAATGCGAGGACTGGTGCGGAGAGCAGGTGTCGTGGGCTTTGTCTCTAGGCCGCCCCCCCGCCCCGCCCGGTTAGCTCTGCACCTGGGCCACGGCCTGCCTCGGTCTGAACAAGGATGGCAGCCATCGCTAAAGGGATCCAGAACAGAAGCCACCAGGCCTAGGGGTTCCACAGGCCTGACAAGAGTTTCCGGCCTGGGCTGCTTGCCGAGCACAGCCTGTGGGCACCAAAAGGGCAGGGACAGGACCATCTCCGCACTCTTTCATCTTGCAGACTTTAATTGGCTTAATTGAGTTTAGAGCTTCCACAGAGGGGCACCCGGACCTTCCGGCATGCGCTGCAGACTGGCACAGATCGGCCAGCATGGCTGGCGGGCTGAGAGCAGAGATTCCCTTGCTGGGTGCCTGTCAACAAGTTGCTACCTCAGGACGGAGGGAGCGTTGAGGGACCCAGCTTACATCCAGCCAGCCCTGGCACCTGCATGCCTTCCCGACTCTTCCTCCAGTGTGTTACAGTCCCTTGGTCAGAGGCAGAAGGCTCCTCCTTCAGGGGCTAGCGCTCTCTCTGGCCACCCCGGTGGGCTTCGGGGCACTCCTAGCACCTCCCAGGCAGCTCACCACCCTCCAGGAAGCTGCAGAGTTCCTGAGTGAGGGCCACCTCTGTCCCCAGGTTCCCCTCTTAGGACAAGTCTCCTGACCCCAAGCTTCCAGCCATCAGCATCTGCAGATGCTGATGCCTGTGTTCCAGCCCTCACCGTGGCCTCGAAAACGCCCATTTCCTCCTGGGGAAACAGAGGCCCAGGCGGGGCTGGAGACACCGGACACCAGGCTCCTGTCTGGCCCAGGCCTCCGGGCCAGCCTTCCACATGGCCCAAGGTGAGTCACGGCCACCCATGCTAGGACACCCTGGCAATTCCCCAAGTAGCTTTCCCTGGCAGGCCTCAGCCACCTGCTATTTGTGGGGTGGCCCAGCCCTACCTTCCCAGGGACAGCGATTTGGGAGAAAAGGCTACCACCGGCCCCTGCACTGGCACCCGAGAACGTATCACAATTCACCCATCGTCAAGTCTGGAAACAGCCCCAGGGCCACCTCTGCCTGGCACCTGCCAAGTCTGTGTGGGAGTGTGTCCCCATGCTGATGTTGGAACACTTGTCGCCAAGTGCTGCTGGCTCCCGGGAGTGGACGGAGCGGGCACCAGCACCAACAAGAAGCCAGGAATCCTGGCCCCAGTAGCTCCAGGGTCGCTGGGCCCTTGGTAACGGGAATGTCCTCTGTCACCATCCTCATGTGGCGTCCATGATGCCTTGATGCGGGAGCCGCATGAAAGGCACGTGCCCTCTGCCTCCTGGGTGCCCATCAGCCTCTTGTGCCAGACCTGCCGGGCAAGGCTTGCTCTGGGATCCCTTGAAATCATGGACCCCGTGGAACGAGAGAAGGGCAGGTCAAAGAGAGGGCATGCCAACCGCCCGCAGTCACAGTCGGGCACCCCGTGGGTGGCTCAGTGCCCACCTGCACACTGGGTGAAGCTTGGAGACCAGTGAGGGAGCAGGGGCAAGAGGAGACAGGAGGAAGGGACGCTGGGGGAGCT